TCAGCATCGCGGATTTCGTTGGTCATGGATAATTCAATCTCTATGAACTTAAGTTTTACATGTTTTGCCAATAAAAGCCCTACTGGACTCAAATCTTTTGGGAAAATGTATGTTTCGATTGTCAGCTTTTCAATTGTTGAATGTGCAAATGCAAAATTAAGTAAAGGTGTCAAATTCTCAGTGAAACATGTAACGTTGAATATCTTCAGACGACCTAATGATAGATATTTGGTGTCCAGATGGGCCGATATTTCGTGTTCAGATACTATCACATGTTCATTATGATATGAAACGGAAAGTTCTTCGACTTTGTTGAATTGAATGGGCACATCATAAAATAAATTGAAATCATTAAAATGCCCAAGGAAGTAACGAATATCAAGAGTTTCAAGATTTTTCAACTTTATGCTAATGAGCTTCAATATTCTGGGTTCGCAACAGCATTCAGTTAGACGGAAGCATCGTAGCTGTGGATTTGAAATTATTGCTGTTCTCACACTTGTTTCATATAAATCGTCTTTTTCGAAAACATTCATGTGTAGGTTCTCCAAATATGGATACTTTATGAATTTGGAATTCAAAAATTGATATGGAAAAAGCACTAGCTGTCGCATTTTTGGAAAAACCCGTTTAATTTGCAATGGTAATTCAGAAGTTACATTTCCAGCTCGAATTTCCACATGTTCAACATTTTTAAATGCATTTTTCACGGCACTTAGAAAGTTATCAGAAGGTCTATTAACTTCAAACAAAATAAGCGAATTCAAACAATATTTGTTAACGTAATGCACGAGTCGTTCGCAATTGACGTTAAATGATGGTGAGTGAATTCCAAATGGATTTGCCCTTATTTCGACTATCGTAATGTAGTTCCCGAAAAGACGTAGGATTTTAAAACAACATTTTAACGTCTGTACATGTATATAATCTAGATGATCGATTGGACTGCGTATTGGTTCAGCCACTGTCTTGTTAAAGTTATTTAGCACTACTTTTGTTCTGTATTTCCTGTTGAAAACCATATCAGCTGCTATTTTAAGATACTTATTGGATTCAGCGACATCAACCAAGTCCTTCAAGTCCAAAAGCCGAAATATCTTCTCCAAGCAATCCAAATTAACATCAATAATCCTTTTTGATGGTGCAGCAGCAATAGAATCAACCATAATTTTCTTTTTTGCTCGCTTTGAATTTGTTTTTTGAGCATTTTTTGTGCGTGTTGTGTTGAATGAGTCCCTTCTTCGCTTTTTCGCCATGGATATGAGCTCGCTTCATGTCGAAAATAATATAAATTCTGTTAGCTTATATTTAGATGGATTTATTTTATTTAAAATTTTATTTTATTTAAAATTTCAACTTATTTACTTACTGAATGATTTCCAATATTTTTAATCGTTACGATGAACTAAGTTTCGATCGAAAACCAAATCAATTGGTGCTTTCAATGACTATTTCTTTCTTCCTACAAACAGCATTTACGACAAGAAATGTCAAGAATTTCTGTTTGACAGATGCATCACAGGGAAATATATAGGTGTTTCGAACAGAGTGTTTAAGCGAATGTGGCTAGTAATTTCATTTGATGAAATAATTAACAAATTAAAAGGTTGAATTTGAATTTTATTCATAATCTTTAATGTGTTCATAAAAATACAATTTTATTTTCTTCAAAAATAATTTGAAAATTGTGCTGAATATCTTTCCCTTATTGTTCACAGCGCCATTCAGCGTGACATTTCAGCACTACACTGTACATAACCCTTCAGCCGTCATTCAATATTGGCGCCATACTTCAGATCTCAAAACAAAAGTCATTTTGGTTTTCCTACTACTATATTGTGCGTTCTGATTCGTTTTCTTCTCGTTGTTATGCATTTGAGGAGTGTCCAGTCCACTGTCCACTGTCCATTGTATATATATAAAACAAGAAGAAATATCAAAGAAGGAAGAGAAACATGGATTTTTGTCGTATTTGTGCCGTTGATATCCCTGAGGACACACAACCGTTTGACATTGCAAATTTGGAAAAAGAATTTTCATTCATTAACACTGAAGTAAATGGAAACTAAATTTTTATTTATACAATTTTATATATAATGATCTTTTCTTTTTCTCAACAGAATATTGAGAGAGAGAACCAACTCGTCATTTGTAATGATTGCCTACCAATGAAAATTACTCGAGCATTAATCAAGAAGGCAAAAGAGAGAAAACATTTAGTACGGAAGAAGATACAGGATGCGGTATCTAAATGTGCCACATGCCAAAAATTCCAATGCACCTGTGACGATGCCAATATTAACTACACCCAAAACGAGACCATTGTTGATCAGAACGCGGCAATCGGTAATCAAAGTCTAGTAACGGATGATAAGACAAGTGATGTGTCAAAGCAATTTCAATGCGATGCATGTGCATGCAGTTTTCAAACACATGATATGTTGAAAGGTCATAATCAAGTCAAACACAAACAAGTCAAACCCAAGGTAATTTTGAATTAAAATGTCATAAATTGTCACGAAGAAACTAATTGTTCCTTTCGAAAATCCTTTACAGTTTAAAAGCTTGAAATGTCCAAAATGCGATCGAACATTCCGTAAAAAACAGAATTTGAAAGAACATCTTCAGAAACACTGCAAATCCAAAAAGTTTATTTGCGATATATGCAAACGCAAATTTCAATTTAAAACTTCGTTACGCTCGCATATGGGCAAGGGTCAGTAAGACGAAACCACGCAAAAAATGTTTCTAAGGAGCAAAAAAGTATATTAACGTCGTTCGATCGCAATGAATTTTTGCATAGCTTAATTATTTCATAAAACTTATATTCTCTGAAAATTTTATCCAATTCGGATAATTTTTTCATATGAAAATCTACAAATTTTCGATTTTTTTCCGATTTTTGTAACGTTACCGACCGTTTTTTGAAAGCACAAGATTTCTACTATGCTTTTACAAAACTACAAGAACCTTTACATATTTTTGTAGAAATGGGCCAAAACTTTAATAATAAATTCGAGAAAATATGATTTTTATTTTCTTTTCTGGTTTTTGGAGCACTCAAATCGCACGTGTAACGTTACCGATTTTTTTTGTAACGTTACCGATTCTACGCCTACTGGGTCCAGAGACCACCAAAACAGTTTTTCATGCACACCCTGTATTTCTATCTTTTCTTTGATCCTTCATCTACGATATAATGAGTGACAACAGATTTATGCCTGGGTAGATTCGCTAATTTTCATAAAAACGTTGAGCAACCTCGCAAATCACTTCCAAAATTTTGTAACGTTACCGACGCCTTTAATCGTTCATAAGTCCAATACTATAGGTGATAAAAATAAAAACTTTTCTTTGAAATGTGTGGTATGGGCAGCACTATCATATGCACTTTTGAAATTTTGGGTTTTCATTATTATTTTCAGAGATATGGGCGAAATAGGCGTGCGAATTGTAACGTTACCGACCTGACCCTCGCCCATATGCATATACATTCTCTCAGATTCATATGTCAAAAGTGCAGAAAACCGTTTTCAAGAAAACAAATATTGGAAAAACATTTATTGAGAGCCACCTGTTCCGACCCACGCAAAAAGGAACAGAACGAAACAAACAAAAGAAGAACAGGTGAAGCGACTGGTGAATCAAATCAAACGAAAATGGACGGAAACTGACATGATTCCTGGAGAAAGTGCGTCAAAGTCAAGTTCGAAGACATCGTCAATGAATTTGACTAAGAAAAGTGAATCGAAAAAAGACGAGCGGGAAAGAAAACGCAACAGACGTGACGATAGTGGCAGTTCAAGCGCAAAATGAATCATATCCCCTACATCGACCGACTACGACCGATGCACTTCGTTGAAAGTGCAGTGAAATTATGACCAAATGGAAATCATCGACTTGTTTAGTTTGTAGAATTTTAATAGGGCCTGTTGAACTACAATCGTTTACATCACACAGTGTTTACGTCGAATTTTCATTATGTTCAATCGATTAATGCTGTTGCTCAGTGCATATGTATTTCTACCTGAAATAATGTTAGTTTGTGTTAGTTCATTTTGATTATATTTAGCAATTTAGTGATCGTTTTAGTATAAAATAGTGATCCGGGTAAAAGTGAAAAAATGCAAATAATACAATCACAATCCTTTTCAAATATTTGTCTCGTCAACTTGAAATGAAATACAAATATTTCTACATATCCATCAATATATTTTTGGTTTAACTGACAATTTGTACTATGTAATAGGGAATTTCTCTTTGATAATGTGTTCATTTGAATGGAAATGAATGAATAGAATTGATGCGGCCAATCGTGATTGTGTGTCTTGTTGAGCTAAATCATGAGCCCATTCAACGCGTCCCCAGAATTTCAATTGGTATTCTTCCTCGAGTCGCGACAGTTCGACTGCCTTTTCAACAGATATTCTCTTATCTACACAAGCCAATGTCAATATTACTGATTTCAAAGTGTCGACCGCATACAAAAATCCTTGCATCGCAGCTTCATTGTACGATAGAAAGTGCTTACTGATATTCATTCTCGTTTTCGCACTGATGTTCGGCTGCGTGATGTCACAACTCTTCTGAATATCTGCACCATAACGTTCATTGAACCATTCAATTATTGGATCCCATTCAACGCACTGTACTTTGTACAGCTCTTCTATATCCTGGAATTGGACAGAAATTATGTTAGTTTGACCATTTCAAATGAAACTAAATTGCAATGACTCACAGATGAATGATAAAGAATCGTATCGGTTGGTAGATAATTCAGCATGTAGTTGACAATATCCTGTTTCATTAGCTTATTCGGATTGTCCAAGGCGGTGTTGCACAAGGTGGTCTGTAAAAGATGTCGAATCGTTTATGCGCGGGAAACGAAATTTAAGTAAAAAATAATTTTGCATACCAAATGCATCTTTGATCGATCAATTACATCTTTTTGCGAATCCCATTCGGTGGCAACTGGAAATTCAGAGAGAATTTTCATTGAAAATTAAGCAACTAGCACCTATTGATTCTGATAACAACACATACTTGCAATTGCCAATGGTTCATTCGTAACTTGGAACACAGTTCCACTTGGTGTTTTCAACTTTTTGTTGTCTAGTGTTATTTCATATTTGCCGTCACAGCTCAAAATGCCAGCATTTTTATAAAACCTCTTCGGTGCAGTAACTGGAAGTCAACGATTCAAACATTCGTTATTCAGAAGGTGGTCCTGTAGTACTATGGCTATACATTTTGCTCTCAAAAAGGATTTCTTTTACCGTAGAATCTTTGTGATGAAGTGAACACAGACAGTGTTTGCGCAGCCAAAACTCTATTTGCTGATTGTATTACCGAACGAAACATTTTATACAACGATTTTATCGTGAATTTAAACTAAACATAAACCAAATGTTGCGAACAGTTCGCATTGATCTCTATGAACTAAACAATAAACATAACCTCAATTGCAAAACTTTTTCACATCTTTTGACATTTTATCGGATCAAATGAATGAATTCAATACTAATGCATTAAAGCAGTTGGAAAATAATCATAATAAGAGAAAAACATGCATGAAAATCATTACGAAAAATATATAAATTCGAAGGCAAATTCATTTTTTCGATAATTTAAAAGAAAAAACATATTTTTCAATTTAAATCAGTAAGCAAATCAAATTTTCACCCATCATTCTCTAATTCCCCGACTAAATGGCGGTATTTCAGGTGGCGACACCAATAAATAGCACGTAAAATGGCGTCAACTCAATGCTTCTATCAATAACAAACTAAAACTTGTGTTCGGTAATTGTTGTTGCTTGTCGTGCGTTCGACATATTTTTTTTCTCTTCTCTCTGTGTCGTTTTGCAAGCCATTTTTTGTGTGTTTGGCATCAAAACAACATTTCGTCTCTGTGCTGCTTGTTGCCATTTGAAATTCAACTTCCAAGAGAATTGATAGCATTTTTTTTAAAATAAAATCGTCGCCCGACTTTTTCCGCAAAAATGAGTGTTGAAACGGAGGTAATGGATATTCAGAAAAAGTTGGCGAAAATGAGTTTGCCAGATGGAACGGGTCAGGAGCAAGCGTTGGATTTGTTAAAAGTGCTTCAAAATCTAAACATCGATTTGAATATATTGACAAAAACAAGGATTGGCATGACGGTGAATGAATTGCGTAAATGCAGTAAAGACGATGAGGTGATCTCATTGGCAAAAACGTTGATAAAGAATTGGAAGAAATGTTTGGCACCGGCAAAAGAGTCATCGTCATCGGCAAACAGTGCATCAAAGTCAAGTTCAAAGACAGCATCAACGAATGGTACTGCGGCAAAAAAAAAGCGAATCGAAAAAAGACGAACGGGAAAAGGATCGTAGCAGTAGCGGTGGCAGTTCAAGCTTAAAACAAACCAGTTTCCCTCCATCAAGTAGCACCATGACCGATGCGGTCCGTTTAAAGTGCCGTGAAATGTTGGCCAATGCCATTAAAGTGGATGGTGACACACCAGAAGGATGTTCATCAGCCGAGGAGCTGGCCGAAGAGCTGGAAGATTGCATTTATGCCGAATTCAACAACACTGACATGCGATACAAAAATCGGGTTCGATCGCGCATGGCAAATCTCAAGGATGCAAAGAATCCAGCACTTCGAACAAATTTCATCAGCGGTGCAGTTACCGCACAAAAATTGGCCAAAATGACACCCGAAGAAATGGCCAGCGATGAAATGAAGAAGATTCGTGAGAAATTCGTAAAAGAGGCGATCAAAGATGCTCAACTGGCAACCGTTCAAGGCACCAAAACCGATCTATTGAAGTGTGGCAAGTGTAAAAAGCGAAATTGTACATATAATCAACTCCAAACACGATCCGCCGATGAACCGATGACAACGTTTGTGATGTGCAATGAGTGCGGAAATCGCTGGAAATTCTGTTAGAAAGTAAACGCGAGAAAGTGGGGGGGTCATTCATCCATAGAAATAACAATTAACACAAAATAAAATGAACACAAAACAAATATTCCTGTAGTACGTATATGTATGAAGACCTAATTCTTCTATTCCACTGCTGAATTTTAGCATATAAATTTTTAAGTGTTGTAAGTCACTCTCTTTACTCGGAAAATTAAAACTAAATAAGAACATTTCAAAATATTTGAAAAAATAAAACAAACAAACATAAATTTCTTTAGCAAAACGGAATGAATGTATCAAATTGGATGTTGTTAAACACGACACACGTAAATCGTACAAAATATCTTTGAAAAACAAAAACAAAAAATAAATAAACGCTGCGTTGCATTCATTGAGGTTGAATTACATTTTAGTATTAATCGTGTTTTTTTTATTTTTTATTCTTTTTTCTCTCTGAAGTATGGATTCTTTTTTGGAACTTTACGGTCAATATGACATAATCGATGAAAATATTATTATTAAATCGGATTGGTTTAATTTGTAGAAACTTTTATGATAAACGCATGCATTGCTGTCACATTTAAAAAATACGAATCATCTTTAATGTCAAACAACTGAACATAACATAGGAAGAAACAAAATATTTGAAGAGGCGCCAATTCCAAAAACATTCAATAAACAAATGAGATATGTGCAGATTAAATCAAACGTCGATTCGTTTTATTCAAGTTTCTTTCTTCACTCTTGAATGTTAACATTCAAAATAAAAATTGAGTTAAATCTTAAGCTATACGCCAAGAAATGGCAAACATTTAAAAAAATGTTAAAAATGTACGAAAATTCACAGAGAAACTTTTCCGAAGCAACTTAATACATGGATAATAATAATAAAACACCATTTAATTGGAATTCCTTGTTTTTCTGGTTGTTTTTGTCGGTGTTGATGCAGTAACCGGAGATGTATTTGATACAGTAGCTGTACTTGAAATCGTACTCGTACTTGCGGCACTCGATTGTATTGGCAATGAATTGACCGATGAAACGGCAATCGGTGAGCTTGCAATTGGTTTTACGCCCGGTACCATATTCATCACCTTTTTCACCGTAATATTTCGATTCAATACATTTGCTTTGATAACTGCCGGATGCGTTTGCATATTTCCGGTGATCGGTGACTTGATTACAATAGCACTTTTTGTGCCCTGCATCGCTTTGTTGATTATCAACGGCTTCATTATGTTGCCGGAAACATTTTGCGATGGATTTTTCACCAATTTCAATGTAGACAAATCGAATTTTGTGCCCGGCGACAGTTTTGTTATGTGATTTCCCTGCAGTGTGATTGGAGACGATTGAACTGAAGTGGCCAATGAGGTAGGCACCAGCTTGAGTGTGGGCAATCCTTTGACCATTTGCGTTCCACTGACACCTTGAGGTCTGATTTGATTTCGATTGATAAAAATCACCTTATTGCTTGTTGGTGCCGTGACCGTTGTTGCGATTGTCGTTTGTTGTAATGGTTTGGTCATTTTGGCCGCACTAATCACAACCGGTCGATTTGGTAGCTTACCATCGGCCGTGCTAAAGAAAATATTCGCCGGAGATCCAATCTGGGCATTTCGATCAACTGATGTATTCAAGAGTTGAATGTTCGACGCACAAGTTGTATTGAAAATTTGTGTTTGATCGATGACTGCACTTTCGTTCGTATTATCGGCAAACAAAATTGGCAGATCAAGAATGCCAGATAAGTCGGTAGCTGAGGATTCAATGACATTCGCATTGATCGGAATTGGACCTTGCGAAGTAGCAATATTTGGTTGGCTGGACATTTGAATGATTTGGCCCGGGTTTTGCTTCACATTGTTGGCCGGGACGAGAATCTGTTGACTTTTTATGATGATCTTTTTATTTGCATGCAATTGACTGACTTGCGTAGATGGTGTTGATGGGGTGCCTTGTGTCGTTATGAATGTCGGCGATGCGACAATTTGAGTAGGCGGCTGTTTTTCAATACCCTTCCGAATGAAAAAGTTCTTTACATTCGGCGATTGAACACGACCCGATGTTGTTGTTGGTGGCTTCACTTGAACGAATTGAGTGCTTGGCTGGATGACTTTTGGTGGTGGTGTTGTCGTTGTTGTTGTTGTTACCACCGGTATCAAAACAACATTTGGCTGTGAAACCGGTACTTCGGACTTTGTATCATTTTCAATCGTTTTCACCTCTTGAGTATTGCTGACCTTTACAGGAATACCATTGTCGATTGCGGCCGGAACCGGATTTGTAACCGCAATCGGAGTCACAGCAGCTGTCGCTTCGCTTGTGGTAACTGTTACCACTTCATTCGACAGGGTCGGCACTTCATTCACTGGAACAATGTTCTGAACAGCCATTTTGATTGATTCATTGCTTTGTTTTAGTAGCGCTTGCGTTGGCTTTGGCTTTTTGGGTGTGAGATCTCCAGATGGAACTTCATTTGTTCGATTCAAACGCGGACGACCAACTGAAAACGATAGGAAGTTTTAGAATTTTTCGAATCAAGTAAAGTATATTGATTGATGTATAACGAAATGAATGCAGAAGACATTTTCAATTTGCGATTGTATACCTTTACGAGGTGGGCCCTTATCAGCTTTGGAACTGTCTTTGTGTTTACGTTTTCGTGTAGATTCATGTTTTTTCGTTGACGAAGCTCCAATTGATCGCTTATTCAAATGGTTTGACAGCTTTCGCGGACCTGGTGGATTCACGATACACGTTGACACAAAATCTTGAATTTCATCCTAAAATATTCAAATAATTCCAATGAACGTTCAATTGAGATGAATAAAGTCAATTTCGTCGACTTACTGCAATCATGTTGTCAACCATTGATTGAGTGACACCTTCCAAATGACGGTTGAACTTATTAATACGCAGTGCATCATCGGCTGATCCAACGACGACCAAAGACGTTTGAGCCGACATCCGTTCGCGCAGAGATTCGATCTCTTCTTGGCTAAAAAGTAATGGAGAATCCAATTAGTATCACGATGTTCAATACAAAAAGTGAAAAAACATTGAAGAACGTTACAAAATGTAAGGTTAGGATTTCACTTTAGCCGTACCTCGATCTCGCGGAATTTTCGCCAAGAATGAATAAAACTGGTGTTGTGATCTCTAGAATTTTATCATCGGGTGCACCACGGGTGCCTTTTACTGTATTGAATGCAAATCCCATGCACACGATCGATGAAACCGTTTCGACCAATGCAACTTGCATTGCAATAGCCGCTCCGGAGTTTATACCGATCAAAATAATGTGTCGGTTAGGCATTTCGTTGCGCAGATCTTGAATTTTTGACCTCGTTATTGCTATCAATTGCTCTGTAACACTTTCCAATGACTGTGACGGTCGCACCGTATGCTGAATAGGTGCCGTACTGGCCATTGTTCCGAGAAGTGAAAACCAGCGTTTCATTCTTGGCGACGGTTGCTGAGTGGTACTGTTCAGTGTTGACGGAACAATGACAATAATTGGCGATTGTCCGGGTAATTTTCGTGATTTGGTCGGTACATTTGCTCCCCATGGCCGTTTCATAATCGCTTGCAAATAGTCCTGAGATGCCGGCCGGCCATCTAGCATTCTGTCAACTAGCGTTGGCACTTTGGCCCGCAGCGATTGTAAAATATCCAAATATGAAGCCATATACGTGGGTGGTAAGTATGTAAACATGACTGAGTTCAACCATTTTGTTAGTTCGGTATTCCAGTGCACCGATGCGAGAGCCAAACGCGTTCGTGCTACCGATTTGTCAATACTGCATCGCCTGATAATACCTTCGTTTGGGCGACCACTCACAGCCAAGCGCGCCAATTGGTCATGGTCAAGAATGTTTGCCACCTGGCGATACAGTTGCAATTGCTGCCTTGACCACCCCAACCTAATGAATCGAAAGTTCGATAGAGTGAGTTAGGAATTTCATAAAAGTCAAAAGACAATTAGATCACTCACTTGGACACTTTCAAATCCCAATCTTCATCGTCGGCATTGTTATTCTTCACATTTTTGGTTAAGCGTTCGGTTTCTTCCATTGCCATTTTTGCAATGTTATCATTGATGGCCGGCGGCAATTGATCAAAATATGGGTCGGATTGATGATTTTCCATTTTCTAAAAAAAAAACTTTATTAGTTTCCACACTTTGGTGCATATGGCAAAAATGCAATTTTCTTACGGCCAAAATGTCATCATTTGATGTGTGCTGATAACATGACGGACACTGAGGAGGTCGAGGGATCAAAATAGAACGGGTTGCCATCACTTCAACATTTCCTTTTGGATGCACGTCTTTTGAATAACTGTGCTCCATATTGTTTATTGCGTCAATTTCGCAAAAATGTTCAACTTCAACTTCACGCGTGGATAAATATCTAAGTAATCAAAATTATAATCGATTCTAATTCGTTCTAAGGTCGAATAATTACTGAATAAAATCACAATGTGGCACAGAAAAACTGCGTCGCCTAAAATATGCACATTCAGTAGCTGGTTTTTGTTATTGTTGTTGTTGTTGTTCTACTGTAGTTTCATGTACTTAAATTAGCGCGTAATCTTGCTCACGGGCCCGAAATATACACAAATTTTGTTGTTTCACCACTTTAAAATGACACGTACGGCGTTTTATGTCATCAGATTGGGCATTTTTCATATGAAACTGTAATCCGAGATCAAATTTTCTGCAGAAATTCAGCTGAAAATTCACTTTTTACACCAAATTTGTTGTTTACGACTTTTATTTCTCCATTTTTCTTTCGCTTCTGATATCTTTTGGTGACGTCACTGGTGTGAAGAGAGAAGAGTATGCATGAAGAAGAAAAAACACAAGTGAACGAAGCAAAACATACATTGAACGAACTCACACGCACCGCTTTATACAGTGCTATTCATTGGACGCACCCTTTGACATGTCGAACTGTCAACCGCTCGATGCAGTTTGTTTATCACTGGAAGAAAAACAACAAGCAAATCTCTTATGCAATTAAAAAAAGGAAAAAAATTTGTTTTCCGCATTTTTATCGCTCTCTTCATCTGGTAAATATCGACGAGAAAAAGTGAAATTATTTACACATTTATCGGGCGACCCAAGGTAATCAACATATTTACATTTTCTTTCATCCATTCTCTCCATTATTTACTTTGTTTGTCTATCGCTGATTTTATAAGTGATTTCTGACGTGCTGCATTTTATATTTTTAAAACATGAGATTCATTCAGACGACAATCAGAAGGATGGCTACTGTTGATTTGACTTGTGAGTGAATGATTTATTGTTGAAAAATTTGCCAATCAAGTGTTCGTACAAATCAATTATTAACTTGTCTCTCTATTTTTTTTAGCTCTTCGGTTGAAGTATCGTAGTGAAAAAGATAAATTTCTAGAAGAAAATATTGCTGTGAAGGAACCATTCCATTTGTTCAAATCGTGGTTGAGCGAAGCTGTTGAAACACCAGAAATTCTCGAGCCAAATGCATTTTGCCTGTCTACAGTTTCAAAGTAGGTTGAATTCACAGCGGATGCACTAGTCTTAGCAAGTGACAATAGAATATTCTAAACACATTTGGAAGATGAATATTTACTTTTTTATTGTTGTGTTTTTTTTTAGAACCAATTTCCCATCTGCGCGATTTGTGTTGATGAAAGGAGTCGAAGACGATGGTGTGACATTTTTCACAAATTACGGTAGCCGCAAAGCACAAGAGATTGTAAGCAAAACTAAATTTACCATTTCTTTACAAAGAAATTTCCTGATATCGATTTTTCTTTCTCGTTGGCATAAAGGAATCAAATCCAAATGTTGCTGCTACATTCTATTGGTTACCGTTGCGTCGACAAGTTCGAATTGAGGGTGTTGCATCAAAGTTATCACGAGAAAAATCTGAAGAATACTTCCATCAGCGTCCACGTGCTAGTCAAGTAAACCGACTCCAAATCGGTTGCATTAAAAACATGTTGCTATATCGTTTATGTAATATTTTTGTAGATTGGTGCCGTAGCAAGTCCACAGAGTCAAACGATTCCTAATCGAGACCATTTGGACAAAATTGAAAATGATATCAAAGAAAAACTCGGTCCAGACGGTGTTGTCCCATTGCCAAACTGGTAATAATTTTGCACATTAGCTTATATCGCCACTGACCCAATCTGTTCAATCTTTTTACAGGGGTGGATATTTGATCAAGCCACATTGGTTTGAATTCTGGCAAGGACAAACCAATCGATTACATGACCGAATCATATTTCGACGCCCGAAATCAGATGACAACAAAGAGCTCGTGCACGATGGTGAAAATGGTTGGGTTTATGAACGACTAGCACCATAATTGGTTCCACAACTGATTTATATCAATCGTCAATTTATTTTTCATGGCAGCCGGTTCAAAAAATCACATTATTAATGTCTTCCAATGTATCAAATTCAGGGATTTTGTTCAAATTAGTAAAACATGATTATATTGTCTGAAGAGTGGAATCCCAGCATAAAATAGAATGGAAATTGTATTGTAGATTGATTGAAGGTATTGAATAAAGGAATCGTATTACATTAAACGTCAAAATGACATTTAATTCACACACAAACGGCACAAAACACATTTGTTCATTAACTGTTGCTAATCGAACCACTTATACACATTATACCTGTTGACCCTATCATTTATTTATCTATCGTTGGGTTATGGTTTGCTTATCAGTGATAAGTGACTTCTGATGCGTTTCAATTTTTTTGACACATGACTTTTGGAAGACTTTGATATGAATTTTGCTCAGTCAACAAAGCAAATGAAAAATGAATTATATGATATTATTCAGTCTGTGATTAGAGGGTGAAATAAATAATAATAAAAAAGCAATGACAGCTACTAATTTGAGTTGTAAGTCAATTGAAAAATCATTCAATCGCATTATTTTGTTCCAATTATCCATGGTTTCAAACCATTTTTAGCATTCCGTAACGAAGATGATGTTTTTTTAGAGGAAGACATTGCCGTCAAAGATCCATATCATCTATTCAAATCTTGGTTGAACGAAGCATGTGAATCACCTGAAATTCGTGAGTCAAATGCATTCTGTTTGGCCACCGTATCAAGGTACGTTGAGTTCAATGAATTCAAACCAACTTAATAACCATATGAATATTTATGTTTTGTTTATATTGATAGAGATAACATTCCATCGGCGCGATTTGTTCTCATGAAAAATGTCGAAGTGGATGGGGTGACGTTTTTTACGAATTACGGCAGTCGTAAGGCGCAAGAAATTGTATGAAAAAAAATTCTTATCATCAGACTAATGGTTAATCAAATGAAGAAATTAATTATGAATTTATCAATCGAATGAACTACTTTCATCAACGACTCTATTGCATTGTATTTCCTGTAGGAATCAAATCCAAATGTAGCGGCCACATTCTATTGGGTACCGCTCCACCGTCAAGTTCGTATAGAAGGAGTTGCAACAAAAGTATCGCGCAAAGTATCCGAGGAGTACTTTCACCAACGCCCACGAGCGAGTCAAGTGAGCCATTCATTTCAAATGAATTCCAAAACAGTCCCATTGCATAACATAACGCATATATTTTACGATCGATTCAGATTAGCGCCGTTGCCAGTGCACAAAGCCAGCCAATTCCAAGCCGAGACCATCTGACGAAAATCGAAAATGAAATCAACGAAAATGTCGGTCCGGATGGTGTCGTTTCGTTGCCAAATTGGTAATAATTTATTTGATTTTATGTCATATCTTCTGGTTGGGCCCACTAAAATTCGCATTTTTACAGGGGTGGATATTTGATCAAGCCACATTTATTTGAATTTTGGCAAGGACAAACCAATCGATTGCATGACCGAATCCGTTTTCGGCAACCAAAACCAGACGATGACAACAAAGATCTAGTTCATGATGGAGAAAATGGTTGGGTTTTCGAGCGACTAGCACCATAACCAATAACAAAAATATTGTTCTAAAACTTTCTCCAGATAAATGTACAAAATGTGAAAAATCACCAAAATAAATGGGTTCCAATGCATCAAAACATCGGCAATCTGTCTTCTGTTTGGCATCGATGAAAAAATCATTGCTTATTTGAAGAGAATCAAATGGTGTATACATGGGATGAAACAAAAGATTCCACCATATGTAAATGCAGTAATCTGAATAAAAGCCTATCACAAATCATTCCGGCAAACGGATTTCCACACAACACTTTTACACATGTGAGACGGTGTTTTACGATGTAGCAGAAATGGCAGATGTTTATTAGCCATCACATGTTGATTCATTGTTCCAATAGCTGCTTTTATCCTTGGCATGGTTTTGATGAGATTTTGAGCTCGGTTCCCATCACTGAGTTAAGTCTTAGAAGCTTGAAGATGTAAATGTAGCAAAAAAATGTATGCGAACCCATGAATAAATAGAGCATTTCAGATGGAAAATGTGTATATAAATGCGATACCAAAGCGATGCCTATACACGCATTTTTCGGTTAAGCCGTTGCGTGTTTACGATGCGAACGCAACCGACTTGAATGGTTGGTGCGAGCATTAGCGAAATCTACCGCTTCGAATACAATTCGACGAAAACATCGAGCGCGGTTTGATGGTGGTGCTTTGTGTGCCTGCTTGCCGTCGTTGTGTATTCCGTTTGAGCATTGAATTGAATTCAGCCAATGTTGTTGACTTCGGCTCAATCGAACACTTGCATAGAAGCATTCACGTGTTTCAAACGCGTGAATTTCAATGTGGAAATTCGTACTTATGAGACGGGAAAAATAAAACGTTGCGTCTTCAAGTCGGTGCTTGTGCTTACACACAAAAGCTCCCACTTACTCACTCACTTTCGCTTGCTCGCGCGCTCGGCACGTAGTATTGTGGATGGAAATTTCGACAGGCGATTGGTTATGTGTTTGCCTCCTTCGTGCTCGATTGTGTGATCCACGGCAGCAACATCGGTGTGAAGCAGCACAGAAAAGTGTGTATTCGAATAAATGGTTTTGCCGCTGCTGTATGTAGCATTCGGTCGTGTGTATGGTTCGGGGTAAAGGAAATCAGCAAACTTCACATAAGGACTAAGAAGGCGAGCGCGCTGGTTGGACGCATGCAACGAAAAGAGACGTCGTCTTTGGAGTTTGAAGTATGTGCGTGTGTGTGTGTGTGTCGATGTGGATCGCATCGACGTCGACGACGGCAAAGCATGAAAAATTCAATTCCGAATCTGCGGTCTCCTCATGTTGTTTGTTCCACAATTTTGTCAGTGTGTATTGTGTATTGTGAACGGAATAACGGTGAACAAATATGGCGACGACTGTTCAGACACGGAATATAGAGTTCAAACAGTTTTTAACATCAACAATCAAAAACTAGCAGCAACACGCCTTCGACTTTGTTCGCATTCAATAAAATCGATGCACACAATACTATCGATAAGAGTTAACAGAATGAACGAAATGCAAACCCGATATTGTTGCATGAAAATATAAACAAAAAATCACTGCTTGAAAAACGAATCTCAGCAACTTGATTAATCTCATAAAGTGTAGTGTTATCCGTGCGTAATTCCAAGTAAAATCGAGTTTAAAAGTGAGTGCCGTACAGCCGAACAGCCGAACAGCAACTTTTCCAAACGAGAAAGGGAGAAAGTGCGACACACGTTGAAATAACGAAAATCATGTAGCCGCAGGAAACTCTCTCAATTGTGCAAATAATTATTATATACGCCATTAATGTAATGTGCAAAATGTGATTTCCTCGAAAACTTACTTCCATTAGGCGAACATTCGCAATCGATTGTAATTAATTGAGTAAACGTAAACGACTTCCTCCACAGTCTATCTTGTGTGTCGAAGAATTTCACGATAAATTAGGGACATTCTCATGGTAAACTTTAATTAAAAGGACCGTAATCCGTAAATAACTCTATTTGTGCTTTGATTTTTAGTGCTCAAAATTGCACACACACATACACTGTGCATATGATAAACATTTATTGTTATTGATAATAATTTAAATACAAATATTTGTTAATATATGTTGAAAATGGTTTGAAAAACAAAAAATGACATTTTTCGTCTTTCTCTCTCTTTCGTTTGGTACAAACATTCAATACGATTTGGTGTGTTTTCATTAAATTCTGGACCGTAGTGAAATCAACGAAAACCAAATCAAACTCAAATCAAAATTCACCATATGCCTAAATGAATATTGCATAGAACAAATCAGAAAATAAAAACGGATCGAATATAGAGCCAAAGAAGCGAAAGCGCAAAATATTAACCGCGCGTATTCAGAATTCAAACAGAAAGCTGTAATCAAATCCCCAATTCAGTAAACAGAAAACAAACACGAAATTGATTTAACCACGGGATGCGTGATCTCGTAAATCCAACTGTATGCTATCGTACAACAACAGCAGCAGTAGCAGTCGTAGCAGCCGCAGTAAATATACATGTATGCAAAATTGAAACGTGCTAAACGTTAACAAGCATAATGGCAATGCCAGTCTCACAGCATCAGTATCAAATGTATAATAGAATTTTGCGAAGCTCAAGAGAACGTATATCGCGAGGTAGCGCCCGAGTCGAAAAAGGCCAATACGAAATGGTTTCATTAGCTCACATCGTATTCGATCCATCGAAGTAGACGAACGAACGCCAAAAACCGTTTTTATTCTCTCTCTGACTCTTTCCCAGCGAAACGAGAATTGGGAATGGATCAAAACGGAAATTGTCTTACTTCAATCACACCAGCACATGATAAAAAAAGCCAGCGAGAGAGAAAAATAAATGTCAATGGAGAATTTTTTTACCGAAAATCAAACCAAACAATATTTAATCTGATTGCCGAATCTATGCAATTTTAAATTGAATCTGGAATTAGAATATAGCGTGTATACAAAAACCGAGACAAACGGAAAATCAAACAAACAAACACGAAATTGGCTTGGAGTGAGAAACGGAGTGAGCATGTTTCCATCGAGAGGAGCAGTGACACAATCATAACGTTTTTGGCGTTCATTGTTAAATCGCATACAATGAGGAGCAGCGCTAATTCCAAGAAATATGCTATATATTGAGCTCCAAGATCCTGACACACAGTGAAAGGGAGCGTAGAGAGTGGTTTTAATTTCATTTGGAATAGCGTATTGTTTGACAAGACGAGAGTTTCCAATGTGTATTTGTTTTTAGTTTAAGCGCTCCACACTATAGAAACTTGTGTGTGTGCCAGAGAAAAAGAAAAGGAGATAGAGAGCGAGTGTGTGTGGTTGTCATCAAAGAGACGGTTTTGCTTCATCGATATTGTTTGAATTGTGTCTAGGAAATTGGTGAGCGTGTACGTGCGCGCGTGTTAATCAATGTGCTGTTTGTTTGCTTCATTTTTTCTACTCTGTCCCATCTACAACAACATCGACGACGACGACGACATTGAAGATATACTTGATATTTGCCAGCAATTTGTCAAACTTGAAGTTGCCGAAGGCACATTTTGATAAATTTATTACATCGTTCGCTCGCTTTGCTCGAACGGGGTTGATGAATACCAATGCGATGGAATAGAGCATAGCTGGAAGTGGCAAAATTAAACACTATCCTTGACATAAAATTATGGCGTAGATAAACGAAAAAAAAGTCAATCCACATACAATCAAGTGTAATACTATCTACATAATGGATTGAATTCGGTTTCAAAGGTAAAAAAAATATGGTCTAATCATCGATAAAATAAACGACTGCACAAGCGTGAATTTTTCACTCTCGAAAGTAGTTATTGAAATATTTTATGTATTTATGCACGCGATCGCAAGGAAAAAAGGGAAATATACATCCTGTAGTTATCAGATCGAAGCAGTTTGAATTTGTAAGTTTAGTCAACGTAAAAAAGCCATACGGACTAAATAAAACGGACCTATGTTTTCATTCGTATAAATTGTAGGCGTATGTACTGTATAGAATAAACAATAATCAAATGTTTATAGTGATTAGATGCCATGTCTCGTTTTGGTTCCATTAAATAAAAAAGTAAAATACGTGTGAATGCCGTTAATTTAAGCGAGAATATTTTTTGTCGTTGAATGGTGTCCCACGTCGGCCCCTTAAAATTGATGTGAATTCATGCCGTACATTGCACGCAGGTGGAACACTAGGATAATTGTACAATTTATGTGTACCAGACAATCGAATCAACTTGTTTATTGTTTGCTATTACGTGTATATAGCGATAGATAAATAATTAAATTTATGAAGCCATTCGAATGCTTTGAATGCTTTGCTCTATTCGCATAGAATTGTCTTTAGTTAGTTAGTTAGCGAACATGTAAAAATGCGAGATTTATGAAGTGAAAATATCGGCCAATAAAGCTGGTGATGTGATGAGAACGTGCGCACAAGAACGTGTTCAACGGTAACAGCACAAAATTGTGTGAACACAAGCGAAAGGCGTAAGAAAAGCGAACGATAACTTATAACTAGAAAAATAGTGTGTCGAAACGGTGAAGCGACCCAAATCAGATATAATAAAGGGAAGTGCGATCCGAAGAAACGGGAATTGAATTGTTGAAATAAATTTTATACGACGTACACTCAAAAAATATAATGGCCAATAAATCACCATTATCGATACCATCAATTGGTTCGTCGAGCTCGCGAACACCGTCACCTCTGCCAAAGGATGTTACACAAGCGATTGCTGCAGCGACAGCCATCGATGAGTCTTCCGAAAGTGAAAATGAAACGGAGCCCGCCCGAGTGTTTCAGCGTCGTGTATCCACCAGTAAGAATTTGAATGGTTCGGTAAGTCGTCATATTTTCATAAAATATCTTATTATTATGTGCGTAGATCTCATTATGTCGAAATCCACAAAATGAACATCGTAAAAAACGGAAAAACGAGAGTGAAAAATAAGAACAATCAACATTGAAATGAACCCATCCGAACATACAACACACATCCAACAGATATTAGATAACGTGATGCGATAAGGTCAGTGGGAAATTTGAATAATTTCGCCTTGAATTATTTGTTGATGTGTTGCGACAGTATGTGAAATATGGGTGATTGCCTCATAAAATGTAGGCCACATTAAATGATGACCGAGAATGAAAATAGATGCGTGTGTTGTGTGTTTTTTTTCTTTGGGAGGGATACGCAAGGGGCGAATCACCACTGAAAAGTCATTTTCAGTGATTTTCAGTGCCTTTGAGTCTTTTTCAGTGTTTTTAGTCTTTTCAGTCTTCAGTCATTTTCCATATATATATTTGCCGCTAAAACGTCATCCCAAGTGTCATATTGAAGTGAAGATTAGTCAGAGTTCTTTGTTGACATTTGCTAGTTTTCCAGACAATAAACAAGCAATTATAATTGCAATTTTATTCATAATTATGAATATAGCAATTGTGAAGCTCATGATCGTATCGATTTTCACGCACCATATTTGTTGGTACAAAGTCCACGCACCATATTTGTTCAAAAAATACTGTCCTTGTGATGAATATCCATATTGCTTTTAAAGTCACATATAAATAAATTATGTTTCTCATTTTGTACGTTTGTTGTAAAGTATTCCATTGGTGCAAAATATCACAAACCCTCGTTGGACTTTGCACCAACAATTTTTTTCTTCTACATGTTCGACTACTCCAATATTGGAATACAATCACTAGAAATCTGAACGAATTTGAATCAGGCGCATAAACACTACCAATGTAATTGTTGTCAATTATTGGATGATTTATGCCGCACATTTTTTATCTAGATAAAATAGTTGATGCATCGGTGCGAATTAAATTTTTGCTTTTTTTAACGACCGAGCTATCTAAATTTTTAGACGTGATATGGCTTCTCGAATATTGCACAATGCACATGCTAGAAGAATAAATAAATATTTTTGCTATGACTATTGTCATATCACTCGCTATTTGCTTCCAAAAATATTCGTTTGCTTCTTTTTTGCTTGTGAAAACACAACCAAATAGCATGTTTCTACATCATTTTTTGACATTTCAGCCATTTTTCTAAATTTCAATCTTTTTCAGTCATTTTAAGTCTTCTTCCATCTTTTTCCGTCATTTTCGGTCTTTTCAGTGTTTCAGTGGTAATTCACCCCTTGGGGATACGTGTGTAATGCGTATGTCGTGTTAGCACGTCTCGGCAAATCGTTATTCAACAGGTTTTTATGGGGCCATCCTATTGTTATTGAAGGTACGCGTACATTCCCAGTGCGTTCCCAATTCCGTTGACTTTGTTCCACGCAGTTCCGTTTCTGCAATACGACTCACGCATTTTATTAGCATTAAAAGTCATAATAATGTTTCGTACATTCGTCGCAGTCGTTTTCGGCAATGTCGTCGTACGAAACCGTAGATAAATGTAGTGAATGTGAATCTAAATGTAAATGTAAAGCCACACGTTCTTCATTCCACTCGTTTATTAGCAATCATATCTTAAGGCGTATTAGGTTATCGTGCCTTCGCAACAACAAAAACAGATGCCAAATACAAACCATCAACTCTAATCACTCATCAAATTTCAAACAGGCAAATATTTCCCAACAAAATACTCTGAGATACTTAGATTAGATGCAGAACTTTAGCCGAATTTGAATCTACTTTGTTCCCACATCGGATTTCTGGCCGCTTTGAGGAGAATATTATTCAAAAACCATTTCGAATTCTCAAGCGGTCTCATTTCGGTGATGAAGATGGAAAATACGATGGATTGACTCTTTGCTGTTTGTGGTTTACATGCGTCAACCATAGCCATTGCGTGCGTTTTGTTTTGGGCCAAATACACATTTTACGATAGATTTGTACGAGTTCAAAGTTGAAAAGCTAAATGATCTTCATCGAAACAAAATCATTTATCAAAAAGAACCGCTTCAAAAATTATTTGACCCAAAACCATTTTTACACAAGAGAAATATCAGTATGAGCTGACAAAGACGGAGCATCTCTCAAAGAGTCGTATTCAAGTGTAAATTTGGCAATTTTACAACCAATTGGCATTTGATCCTTTTGTCAGTCAACAAATGTCCGCAACGCAAATCGGTTCATTGAATCCAGTCTATGAAGTGATGTTTGCACGATGTAACAAGACCAATATTGGTGAGCAAACAAGATGGTAATTTCATATGATTTAAATATGCACCGTCAATTCTGAGCCATATTGCATCATTTTTCTTGTAAAAATGAACAGTTTTTGCAATATATCATCCAGACAGCGATGACTTTTAATCAATAATGAAATAAAGGCGCGTCGCTTCGTTTGAGCCACCTTATATAGAGTAGAAAAAGAAGAAGAAGATACGGAAAAAAACTAACGCTTCGTTTTTATGTAGCCTGAATATTAAATAATAAAGTCCAACAAAAGCGCTGTGCGCTACGTGTCAGGTTTCATGTTTACAGCGATTGGATGAAACGCGAGGCATTTATTCAGTCAGTCACTCACTCTCTTTCACTCTGTGTGTCTGTTGACAGACTCGGATTTTCCGTCTTCCATTCGCCCTTAATTAAAAAGAAACACGAAAACCGCGCGTGTGTTCTCAATATTTATTCGCTGTTTTTTCCATTCTAGTTTCGGTATTTAGTTCATTACATTAATGGCGAGAAGAAAAAACGCTCGTAACGGATACATGTGACACAATTTGTAGTCCCGCTCGCGTTTTCCATATATATTCGAACCACATAAAATGACGATGAGAATAGATTTTAGCGCGGCGTCATGTCGTAATTTCGCACGTTCGACATCTCAATATAGCCGACTAGAGATGAGTTGCTGACAATTCATTTATGAAATAAGACACGTCGTCGTCTTCATGCCCTAAATTCCAGCTGCCAATGTTTCTATTTATTTTTTTTTTTGTTCATGCAAAGCAATAACAAAAATTACCATTTATGCGATGAAGTTTTATTCGTCGCAGTAAGCATTTCCATTTCCTCGCATTTTCATCGCCTATAATTTTATGATTTATACCCATTCAACGTTAGTTTTCCATCAATTCAGCAGCACCACCAGCCGTGTCGCCGTTGTTGTCGTCGTCGTCCAAGTTGGCTGGAACGGAACAGGAAGAGAATGGAAGATTGAGTGATGCATGACGTGAAAACAGGACGGAAAATTGATAATAAATTCATGAATAAATAAAAAAAAACGATGAAATATTCTTGAACAAAAAAGCACACGTTTGCCGCTCTAATTTCGCATTTCCCATTTGTTTCTTCTTCGGTTGTTTTTTCTCCAATTCTCTTTCTATTTCATTTTTCTCGCTACCCTCAATTTACAATGTAAAACAATTCAAAAATGTTGCATCTGAATTTTACAAAGGTGTACATTGTTACATCGCTATTTAACACTGCTAAAAAATGAAAAAAAAACTTAAAAGGAATATGGCATTTGCTTTTGCAACATTTAATGTGTTTGCACTCGTAATGGATTCGAATGATTGTCCGTTTTTTTTCTTCATCGTCGACCGTCTTTTCCTATCGTGCAGATAAAGAGGAAATTACGTTTATATTGTGCACAAAATGAAGAATGAATAAAAGCGAAATTCGAGACCAGAAAAAAAGGGACAACGAAAGATTATTCTGTCTGAAATCTGCTGGCTCATTTTTCCGTTTCCATTTCCATTTCCATTATTTGAGAACATACATATACATCTGTACACACACACTTTCTTTCGTTTGTCCATTTGAGGTAGCTTTTTTTCCATTTGCTATGGCCACGCTGCCATTTTTTATGTGTGTGCAATCAGTTTCATGTTGCCGCTTTTTTCGAGGCCTAAATTTTTATTTTCTTGTCGCAGCGGGACGACAAGCACCATCATGCCAACATTCACCCAAATATATTGCTTGCGTTCCGTTTTGCGGGCTGCTGTATTTTCCTTTCTCCCCCTCTCGCTCTCTCATTCTCAATCTTTTTCAAACATTCCTCATTTTATCGCGCAACGACGATTACCAAGATTAATGGAAAGACTTTGACAGCAATTTGTTTGACCGATGTTCGGCTGGAGCATTCTTGTGATTTTTTTTTATGCTTTCAAACACTTTATCATTTTTTTGTCGGTTCATTTTTTCGGGCACTTATACTGACTGCATTTAGAGTGGCCCCCATTTCATCATGGCATACGGATAACGGTTTGGATTTTATTGATGGCACTTTTTAAATAAATACGAGCATTTTCTATAAATGCTTTGCCATTCATTCGAATTTGTTCTCAAACAATTTGGTCCGACAGCTCAACAACAACAAGCACGACGATAGAAACGCAAAAAAAACTGAATACGTAACTTCAAACATCTTCCTGCTTTATTTAACATTAATGAGGATTACATTAAGCGGTTTCTTTTTCGTCGACTGAATACTCAATTCGATTCAGATCATCTCAGATTTGCGCTAAATATCAAAGATCTACTCTAGTTTTTCTTTTCTTTGGATTCATGTGTGAACGAAACATTTTTGGCGAACCACAACATTTCAAGAGCCAATTCATGGATGTTCACGATGCTGAACAAGCGAGGTGGTGATCCAAGATTAACCCTCTAATGCATTAATTTTTCCCAGGGCTGGGAGTACTGGTACTTGGTTGATTTTTGGCCATAGATAATTAAAAAAATATTCATAATCCTGGATTCCTCATGGTTAAGTCAGAAAATGCGATTGACATAAATCAGAGAACAATCAAATCCATTGTTTAAAAGTGTCAAAAATGTGTCTGATTTCGAGTTCGAATAATTTATTCAGTCAAATTTTTGTTTTTGCACACATTTTTGTTTATAACTTTGCAATCACACTACATAGA